AACACTAACTTGAGACATGAAGACTCCAGGCCTGATCCTTCTTACACTCCCAGGCCAGCCCTTTGGAGGTGGAATTAAAAGGCAAACAGATCTTTGTGTGTCCACATTCCAGCTTTTGTTATCCCACGTCTAAACATTAAGGTTAATTTGGTTAACCTGCCTTTAGCTTAAAGAGAAGGAGGGATTTGCTGTGGAATTCATCTGGGCAACTTCATCCTTCTAGGAATGAGAGAGACAGAGAGAGACAGAGACAGAAGAGGGGAGATTGGAGGAAGAGAGGCACAGCACTTACTTCTGTTTAATCCCAAACAGTACCCAACCCAGTAGGATTAAGTTCATGTGGCCCGCCTTTATGTTTTCTATTTCCAGAACCTAGCACAGTGCCTGGCATAAAGTAAGCACACAAAAAATGCTTGTTGAATGAGTGAGTGAATCATTCGATTGTGGTACACGGGATTTCCATTTCTAAAAGTTTTTCAAAGAACAGTTCAGGGTAGTGGGGGCTCTCCTTAGGCCATGGACTTGCTGGGGACTGTGATTTCTCGCATTTGTCTTGTTAAATCATTAGTAGCCATATATATTTAATTACAACTAAGCTTTTATTGAAGGACAATGTTCACTTCTAATTTAATGGTTGACATTATGTACTTCAGTTTCCTTCAGGCAAAGGGAAAAAGTTTCCAGAATTTAACAAAGTACTTGGCACTGTATAGTGGGTTAAAACATACTTTTTTTTTCACGAGTGCCCACAACATTCCTGTTGAGAATAGGTAAAACTGGACCAACTAGAAAAGCAATGAGGTAGGTTTGCAAGTGATTGCTGTGAAAATCCATCTCCCAGAACTAAAGACACATCGATGACTTAAAATCAGGTTTTGCCAAACACAGAGCTACTTTTCTGGTTTCCCTATTTTTTTCAATCTGGGCCTATCTCGAGCCCTCTCTGAGGGCGGGTCATGGGGTTGTATCTTTCCACAAGGTCAGCTTTACGCAGTCATAAAGCCAGGTAAACACAGCTGTAAAGCAGGTTCAGGATTCCAGATTCAATGGCGTTTCAAGGAGCATTTAACTTGGCTTCAAGCATGGCACCCAAAACAAAGCACAATACAAAATCACGGAAGAAAGATATAATAAGGAGTAAGAAAGTCATGAACCAAAGGCAAAGTCAGTTTGCAAGTGCATGAATTATGTTCAAGCCGTGGAGGGTCTCTGTCATGTTCAGTGATCAACCAGGCAGAGCCTTTGGTTACTTTCCTGATTATATCACTACTTGACATGAGTGACGCCATCTTGCACTCTGCAGGGCCTTTGGTAGTCACCTCTTGTAAAGAGGGTTCCCCCCCTCCACCATCCAGGGGTGAATTGGCCAAATAGGCAGTAGGTATCCAAGAGTTTCGGTAGACTGTGGGCTCTGAGAGGAAAAAATGGGGACATTGCAATTCCAGCACCTGGGGACCTGACCGATTAGGGGATCCCTTCTTTGCAGTCTGTTCTGATTGAACAGCCTGTTGCAACTGGAAGAAGGGAGACTCTGTTCTTTGAGCACGTTATTCTCCAGGATCAGAAGCTCAAGGTCTCCCCTGTGGTAGGAACACTTGCTGCAGCAGTGATCTTAAGGTCCTAAAACTTCCAAATCAAATCAAGGACTTCTTGAGGAATAGAATGGAGAAAGGGAAGAATAAAAATCTAGAAAGGTGAACAGGCCAAGCTGGACCCCTGCTGTTTCTCCCCTGACACCCAACCTTGAAAATCTAGCCAAATCTCACACATGAGGATTTTCTGAACTGGGAGGTTAGACTGTCCAGGCATCGGAGGTCCAGGCTCAGACTCCCTTAGTGTGTGGCATTTATAGTGAGGGTGACCAGATATCCCTTCATATGCAAAGGAGCTGGGAAGTGCTTCGGTGCCACAGACTTGACTTAATGCCCCTGAGATGGTTTACCCTTCAGCTCTTTTCCTCAGCTCTGCCTTGTTCCAATGCTATTAAACCTACTGCTTGCAGAAAACCAGCCTTTCCACGCATTTCCACACTCTCCTACATCCAGTTATCCTGTGTTAAACTCCTACAATCCTCCCCATGTTCTTCCTGTGATCTGTGCTTTCCCAAATCTTTCCCTCAAGGTCTGACGTCTCTGGCCAGCCCTGAGCTGGTTGCTGGACTCCTGCCGGAATCCTCCCAGCTCCACCAGGAGACTGATGACAGCACCCAGAGGGGAATTGAAAACCCGAGACTCAGAGGTGTGGATGACCTGCCAAGGAAGCAGCCACTGGGGGTTGGAGACCCCGGGGTAACTGCAAGGGGTGTTTCCTCAAATTTACCCAAAAGGGAGCTGTGAGGGGTGAGATCCAATGTCTTGTGGATGTCTGAGATCCAGCTGTCCACAGTGGTATTGGTCCAACTGGAATATTTCTGACCCCCAACCCAGGGCTCTTCTCGTCTATTTGAAACCCTATTGCTTCCTGTGGTTATTAAAAGCACTGATAAGGATAAGACAGTGAATTTAACAATAGTGAGTACATCAATAAGCAGAGGGAGAGATAGATAAATAAATAGATAAATAAACTGAAAAAAATACTAGTAGGCAAGCACAGGGTGAATGCTAGGACATAAATTTACACCCTGCTGTTTATGGAAGGACCAGGCCACAAGTCTGAACGGGTTCCCAGTTTCTTCAGAACTCCATCCTGCCTGATCATGGCCTCCAACTTAGAATTGTGGGTATTAATTTTGATCTAAGGCTCCAGCTAGGATGAAGAATCGCACTGTTCTTTTTGGTCACCCCTTACCATCCCCTTCTATTACTTCACACAAATGCAAGAGCCCAGAGCTCGGGATTTAGGAGGATAATTAGTGATATGCCACACAGGGCCTCGGGAAAGCCAGGAGGATCAGAATGAACATTTCCCATATTTCTTACATGAGAACCAAGAAGGTAGGCATCAAATAGACTAGGTAGATGGAGGAGGGACAGATTGGTACTAATTCTTTAAAATATGTTTAGCATTGTTGAGGGGTGTCTGGGTGGCCCAGCTGCCTTCAGCTGAGGTCATGATCCCAGGGTCCTGTTGGGCTCCCTGCTCATTGGTGAGCCGGCTTCTCCTTCCCCCTCTGCCACTCCTCTTACTTGTGTGCACTCTCTCTCTCTGACAAATAAATCAAATCTTTAAAAGAAATAAAATTTAACATGTTTAGCGTTGTTGAAGAATTTATTTTAAATAACTGCGGAAGTTTCTAGAGCTTACCATCGGACGACCCTTGGAAAGGTTCAGGTGAGGTACAATTAAGGAGTCCACTGCAGCGAAGGACTAACCTTAAATGTTCTTTGCCCCATGACTGTACATTCAGGGAGCTGTAGGTTTAGAGAAGAGTCAGGAAACTGTTGGAGATGCATTTCCACATGAAATGGCTGGAAAGATGGGACTGTGCCAGGAATGAAGATGATAGCCAAAATAAACAGAGGAAGTTATCTGGATATTTTAGGAGAAGAAGCTGTAAAAGTTGGACTAGTTTCGGTAAGCATAATTAGGTATCGATGGCTTCATTTAATCATCCCTGGTGCCTTTCATCTGATGTGGACAGTGGCTGCCTAGAGGGAAATGAACAATTTTTTTTAAGTGAGAGAAATTTTACTCATCATTTCAGAAAAGACTATTCTTGGATGACTACTCTATTGAAGAAATGATTTGTTCTAAAGAATTCTAGGTACACGCATGAGAGATGGTTGTGTAAACAGGTATTTGGGTTGTTTGAATTCTATTTTGGGTCATATAGACAAGATGATGCATCTGAATCATGCTATAAAATCAGATTCCAGAAACAAGATTGACTCACCTAGTTCTGGAGAATTTCCCTGGGTCCATTCTAAGCATCATTTTCTGCGTTCTCAGAGATCCCCTCATCGAAACATGAAACTTTCAGCTGGGGTGGGAAAAACAACTCTGGTCTTGTGTTCTAAGGTAATGATTATGAAGACAAAGCCCAATGAAGACTGCATAGCGCCATGGAAATGAGAGGCTGTGACATTAAATGCAAAACACAGGATGCAAACTTGCATATCCCCTGTGTTCTTTGTAAAAATCAAAACGTGAATGTCTATGGGCAAGTAGTCTATTTACTACCAGAGTTGAAAACACTGTGTTTCCAAACAGTCTGTAATATTATGTTGTCTTTATAACTAAGACGTATTGGGAAAATAGGTACGTTGAATGTACCCACATCCACAGACACAAATAAAGATTCGAAGTCCTCAGTACTTGGAATCTCACACTAATGTGATCAGGGAAACAGGGAAATGAAAACTAGAGCACTGGATCAATACATATTTGATTGTCTAGCATGTGCAGACAGGGCTGGGAGCTAAAAACGGATGAGGGATGTGTAACTCAGTGCTAATGCACCACTCCTCCAAGTGTGGATGACGGACGTTCACACCCACATGCAGCCAACCACCAAATAAAGTAAAACTGATCCATGCTATCTTTGATATATCATCTAACCGGCATGGGCTCATGGAAGAGAGAATAGGGAAGTGTAAAAAGGCTTCAAAGGAGAGGTGGTGATTGTGTCCTTTCCTTGACACATGGTGGGGAAGGGGTTTTTGTTCACTCTTCTCTCTCAGCCCTTCCTGTGTTTGGCCATGGCCATGAACTCTTACACATTTTATCTTGTTTTATTTTCATGATTGACCTAGGAAGGCGGTAAAATTATTTTCGCTTTTTATATAGGGGAAACTCCTTTGAAAGGGTACCCTTTTTTGAAAGGGTACATTTGTGATACCTCTCTCCTTGAGTTCCTGGAACTTCCCAGACTGAGACAGCTCCTCTCTCATACCTCTCCAGATACGCAGCTGGGGCTAGGGTGAAATCAGCTTGGCCTTTACAGTTCTAGCCTTTACACAATTTTTGGGTAAGGACAGCTGTTTGGGGTTTTTTGGTTTTGGTTTTTTGTTTTTTTTTTTAAATTAGCCTTTATTCATCAAGTGCCCTGGTCACTTTGTGTAATAAGTTAGGTGGTGAGGTAAATTTGCAAATGTGCCTTTTTAAGGACCTCACCCAGCAGCAGGGAAAATTAAGCCTTGGAAGGAATTTGGCTCCGCAGCCAGTCATATGCCTTGCTTTACAACATACTCAGCCAATACAGGAAGGAGGGTGAGTATGTGTGGAAAAAGACAGGTTACGAGATTAATTTTTAAGCACTAAATATTTATTGACAGAATATCTCTCCAGGCAGTGTTCACATGCTTAGAACTGAAGCTTTAAAAATTGGCAGTGCTGTTTAAGCAAACAAAGCCGTCAGTTGAACGCAATGATTAACAGGAAGTTGGGGAGCGGACACAGTTCCCAACCCTTGGCTGGAAGAAGAGGCTGGGGTAGAATTCGTAGGGGGATGACTTGCAGAATGGTGAACTCAGCCCTTGGTGATTTTACGGTAGTGAAAAATGGCTGCGTTAGAATCGGAATCTCCCTGAGGCAGCTTGTTTTTGTGTGGTAGCAGGTTGCAGGTTAACGGGAGCCGGAGCAAAGCAAATCCAAAGAAGCTACTTCAGAAATGTGTCGAAGAAAGGTGGAAATGAAACACAGCAGAGAATGAGAAGGGAAGGAAGACAGCGAAAGGACAAAACGGTCAACTGGAAGGTCACGGAGCAGCTGATCAGAATTGTGTCTACCGAGAGGATGATTTATGGATTCTGGAGAAAATGTAAGTTAAATATATCTATACTCTAATCAGTTCTTGAAAAACATTTCCCTCACTTTCTGGTCTTGAATGATGGTCTCTTGGAAGCCTTGTCTTTTTACTGTGTCTCTTATCACTGCCCTGATTTTTGTGTTTGTTTACAATAACGAGTTATGGGAGGAGAAGCATTTTCTGAAGGCATCTCTGTCCAATGCTTCACTGTTAGCACAAGTCTGTCATCAGATTTTTAAGGGGAAGGTTTTTTACCCAAGAGAGAATGCACTGAAAACTACCCTCAGCAAATCTACCTGTTATGAGTACATGGCTCAAAGTCACTATATAACAGAAACACTATCAGAAGAGGAAGCAGAGTTCCCTTTGGCTTATACGGTGACCATCCACAAAGACTTTGGCACTTTTGAGAGACTCTTCAGGGCAATTTACATGCCCCAAAATGTCTACTGTGTTCACATGGATGAGAAGGCAACAGATACATTTAAAGATTCAGTGAAGCGATTACTGAGCTGCTTCCCAAATGCTTTCCTGGCCTCCAAGATGGAGCCGGTTGTCTATGGGGGGATCTCCAGGCTCCAGGCTGACCTGAACTGCCTCAAAGACCTCGCGGCTTCCGAGGTGCCCTGGAAGTACACCATCAACATGTGTGGGCAAGACTTTCCCCTGAAGACCAACAAGGAGATCGTTCGGTATCTGAAAGGCTTTAAAGGGAAAAACATCACCCCGGGGGTGCTGCCCCCAGCTCACGCCATTGGACGGACTAAATATGTCCACCAGGAGCTATTAAGAAAAAAAAATTCCTGTGTGCTTAAAACAACAAAATTAAAAACTCCACCTCCTCACAACATGACCATTTACTTTGGTACCGCCTATGTGGCCCTCACAAGGGAATTTGCCAACTTTGTCCTCCAAGACCAGCGTGCGCTTGACTTGCTCTCCTGGTCCAAGGACACTTACAGCCCTGATGAGCATTTCTGGGTGATGCTCAATAGGATCCCAGGTATGTGTGTCTCTTAACTTCTGTTCTCATGGGTGAACATTGCATGGCCAACACTGAATGAACTGCTTTAAAAACTAGTTTAAAAAAGTTAACATTTCAAAGCTCTTTACAGTTTTAAATGTTAATTTAAAAAATCTTTGTAACAGTTCTGTTCACAGATGTCACTCATGTCCATTTACAGATGAGGAAACTGAGGCATAGGGATTAGCAGGGCTGAGGTAGAGCTCAACCCTCTGATTCAATTTTGCTGACATGCCCAACTGCCTTTCGGGACCCACAGACCCTTTTCAGATACATGCTGTAGCCTTGAGACTGGGCAAAGGATTGAGGGAAAGCCAGCTGTGCCAATGAAAGACTAAACCCAATTCTCCTTTAAGTGTGATGTCACATACAATCAGGAATAAATATTAAAAAGTACATTTGAAAGGCAGTTTGAACATTTTAATAATACTTTGGCTCCTGTCAAAGCTCCAATAGCTAAATGCATGTGCTTTCAAAATGGGAGCAGTGTACAATTTAAAACTTTTTATTTGCAAGTTCTTTTCCTGGAATTAAGTCAGAAATTTAGAGCACCTTAAAGATTTCTAGACCAGTGCCTTCATTTTATAGACAAAGAAACTTCCATGGGATCAACGCGATGGCCTCAAGCTGCCCAGCCAGTGAGCAATCATGCCAATGATACAAACCAGGTCTCCTAAGCCTCATGCTCTTTTGATTTCAGTTGGATCTCAGTCGTTACTAAATTAACTGCACCTTCCATTTGGCCCAAGTTCTAAATGATTTGGATGATCTCAAGTTGTTTATAGTGAACTAATTCAGTCCTGCTAGTTCAATTCAAAAATAAAAATTGAGATTCACAGTTCAAGCGAAAAGTAACTTGAATCCATATGACCATAAGATTCATGGTTTCTCGAGATTAGCGGCTCAACACTGGATGCATACTACATTCACCTGGAGCTTTTAAAAATACATAAGGCCAGGCCCCATTTCCCACAGGGCCTGACTTCTGGGATGGACCTCATCTTAGGTATTTGTTCTGTCTCCGGGTAATTCTCAGGGACAGCCAGAGCTGTGAACCACTGCAGTTGCTTGCTTTAGAAGTTGTTATACAAAACTTCGTAGACTTAGAATGCTTTTTTTAAGCCACAGGAAAATAACCTCTTATTTAAGATTTATTTTTAAGTTAGGTACAATTGGCATATAACGTTGTATTTGTTCCAAGTGTACATACAACATGACCTGCTATCTGTAGATATTGCAAAATGATCACCACCACAAATCTGATTAGAATTTAGCAACGTTATTTTTCTTGTGACAAGAATTTTTTTGTATGTGTGATGAGAACATTTAAGAATGGCTTTCTTGAACGTAATAACAACAATAATAATAGTAATAATAAAGAACTGCTTTCTTAAGCAATTTTCAATATACTGTCAGAGAGGGAAAAATTTACCTCTTCTTTTTAATGTTCTTCTGGCTGGTCTAAGAATTCAATCGGCATGAGACGAATTAACAGGAGGGAAAAAACCCAAAGTTTAATTATGTGTGTGCAGAGAACCAATATTGAAAGTACAACCCAAAGCTGGATGGTAGCATCCAGCTTGTATACATTTTAGAAAAAGAGACATAAATCTGTGAGAAATTGACAGGACAAAGAAAACTTATGTTTGGGAGCCTCAATTACTAAGAAATTCTAAACAGGATTTGGGCAGGGGTAATGATTAAATAAAAGTACCGAGGTTTGTTTCTACCTTCTTCTCAGCTCTGAATTTCCTACGTCTGGTGAGGAGGTCCCTTAATCTCCTGATACAGGGAAGGTAGTTTTCATGTGGGAGGTTTAGTTCCTGCTTTCTGGAGACAAAGGGTGGAGGGAGGGTCAGGATGTTGCTCTTAAGCAGCCTCTTTCTTTTCTTCTTTCTTAATTTAAATTTTACTTAATTAACATACAGTGCAATATTGGTTTCTGGAGTGGAAATCAGTGATTCATCACTTCTGTACAACACACAGTGCTCATCACAACTAGTGCCCTCCTTAATGCCCATCCCCCACCCACCTTCCCTCCATCAACCCTCAGTTTGTTACCGATGGTTAAGAGTCTCCTATGCCTTGCCTCCCTCTCTCTTTTTTCCCCCCTATCCTGTATTTTCCTTCCTAAACTCTACAGATAAGTGGGATCATATGATATTTGACTTTCTCTGACTTATTTTACTTAGCATAATACACTCTAGCTCCACCCACATTGTTGCAAGTGGCAGGATTTCATTCTTTTTGATGGCCGAGTAATAGTCCATTATATATACATATAAATATGAGATTTTTTATATATGCATATATATGATATATATGTATATATGTGTATGTATATATGTGTGTATATATATATGTGTGTGTATATATATGTGTATATATATCTCACATCTTTATCCATTCATTAGTTGGTGGACATTTGAGCTCTCTCCATAGTTTGGTTATTGTTAATAAGGCTATTATAAACATTGGGGACCATGTACCCCTTCAAATCTGTATTTTTGTATTCTTTGGGTAACGTGCTGGCTCTTTCTTAAGTAACTTTAATTCAAAATATGCCAAAGAGGCACATTTCTGGGGTGGGCTACCCTTAGCCCTCACAGTATAATACAGTACTATTAACTATAGTCATATGTTATACATTACATCTCTAGGACCTGTTTATTTTAAAACTGGAAGTTTGTACCTTTTGACCACCTTGACCCATTTGCCCTCCTCCCCACCTCCCATCTCTGGAAACCATCAATTTATTCTCTGTATTGTGAGTGGGTTTTTTTTTTTTCCAGATTCCACATATAAGTGAGATCATGCAGTATTTGTCTTTCTTTGTCTGACTTAATTTCACTTAGCATGATGTCTTCAAGGTCCATTCATGTGGTCACAAATGGCAAGATGTCATTCTTTTTTATGCTCAGTAACATTCCCTTGTATATTTATATCACACCTTCTTTATCCATTCATCCACTTATGGACACTTAGGTTGTTTCCATGTCTTGGCTATTGTAAGTAGTGCTGCAGTGAACAAGGGGGCACAATATCTTTTTCATCTAGTGTTTTTATTTTTTTTAGGTAAATACCTAGAAGTAGGATTATGGGATCATAGGGCAGTTCTAGTTTTAACTTTTTGAGGAAACTGCGTGCTGTTTTCCAGAGTGGCTGCACCAATTTACATTCCCACCAACAGTGCAAGAGGGTTCCCTTTTTTCCACATCCTCACCAAGACTTGATATTTCTTGTCTTTTTGATAATAGTCATTCTAACAAGTGTGAGGTGATACCGCATAGAAATCTATTTAAATTTGTAGTTTTCCAAAAGCTGGAAGGGGTAAGGTTGTAGTGATAAAAGAAATCAGGTCTCAAGAAAGTTGGGGGGGTAGTCATGACCATATGGTTGTTTCTGTGGAATTACAGTGTACAGAATGAGGGAGGAATAACCCCACTTCTGACATGTTGCTTGGATCAAGCATGATGGAGATTTTTTTGGTATGAGCCCCAGACTTTAAGCAAAGACATTGACAATGCAGATTCCAAAGATAGCAGTCAAAAAGGATAAAAGACCAAACCCTATTTTTTTTTTTCTAGCAAGGACCAAGACAAAAAGGTTTTCAATATGAAAAAAATTTGAAGAAGTGTCATTGTCTTCACATGATTGAAAGATTTGCTCATTTGGAAGAAGAATCTAGGGTCAGTGGTGGGAGATTTAAAAATCTGTCAATCTGGGATTAGAACGGGTAGCTTCCTCGGTGGTGGGCAAGCAAAAGGGGTCTGTAGAAACAGAGAAGGAGAAATGCAGTAAAGGCAGCTCACTTATCAGGTATTGGACAAGATGGCCTGTGAGTCTCTTCCACCCTGAAAGTCCGTGATTCTAGAGGATGATTCTAGTCAGTTTGTTGAACAGAAACTTAAGGGTAACACCCTAGCTTCTCAAGCTGGTTTATCTATTGGAAATGGACTTTTACATCTCTGGTTAGCAGTTACAGATCAGTGAAACAATGGAAAACCATTGTACTGCTCCAAAACTTAGAAGAGTGAGCCCTTGAAGGAGTTTCTATCTTATATGTATGAAGGTTCCTTTCTTTCTTTTCTTTCCTTTTTTTTTTTTTTTCAGATTTTGTATTTATTTATTTGGTGGAGAGAGAGAGCACAAGCAGGGGGAGCAGCACGCAGAAGGAGAGGGAGAAGAAGGGTTTCCTGCTGAGCCCTGATGCCAGGCTCGATCCCAGGACCCTGGGATTATGACCTGAGCCTAAGGCAGAGGCTTAACTGACTGAGCCATGCAAACGCCCCTGAAGGATCCTTTTTGGAAGCCGGTGCCCCCTCACCCAGGCAGCTGGCTCATGCAGGACCTGGGTGAGACTGTGTAGAGGGCTTGGTCATGAGGAGGGAACGGAACTGAAACCTAAATGTCTGTCTTGTCCAACTATCACTCCTGCTGTGTGGAAATCTGAGTCAATTCTGTTTTGAGGGCACTTCTAGCTGATGTATTAATTGGCTGGTTTGTTGTTTGGGACATTTGAAGATTGTTCTAGTTGACTGCAGTGATTGGGGGTTTATTAAAAAATCTCCCAGACAAAATGGCCTCATGGGGCGCTAGAACAGCACCACCCAAAAGAAACATAATGTGAGCCATATATGTAATTTTGGATTTTCTAGCAGCCACATTAAAAGAAATAAAAACAAACTGGGTGTTATACACAACTGATAAATTACCGAACGCTACATCTGAAACTAATGATATGCTGGCTCATTGAATTTAAATAAAAACCTTTAAAAATATATAAAAAATAAAAACAAAGAGGGGAAATTAATTTAAGTAATATACTGTATCTAGCCCAGTATACCCCATATACCATTGTATATGTGACTGATGCCGCCGTGGCAGGTGTCCTCCCAGCTCTGGGTAAAATGGACAGACAACAGCGATGCCGTCCCTGCAGCGTGATGGCATCTGTCACCTCTGCTTCTTTGGCTTTG